GTCTACACCCAGGCCCTTTCCGTCATGCCAAAGCTACTACTATTTACTCAAACATTTGAATGCCTTCTAAAATTCCCATCATTACTGTGAATCAACATGCAGTTAAATGAATGACTTGATTATAATGTTCTCTGCTCTACCAAACGTCTGCTTCTCATACTGTGCCTCATGAATGTATCACTGCTGGAAAAATGAGCATTAACTGTGTATTCAGGGCATTTAATGCCAAATTTGAGTGAAATGTTGATATCTTGATAGGAAAGATTTCTTTGAGCTCTACTAAGCATTTTTCAAAGCAAATTGTGTCAGCAGAGTGAAATTACATGCAAAATTATCTAAACTATTCATATATGATAGGCAGTCACACTTTGTAGTAGATGAAGCTTTCAAAATGTAGCAGATGAAGCTGAATAATATCAACCTCTGGTCTGCATTATCTACAATCCCACTCTTTACTCACAGCTAAAGGCATGAAGTGCAAACCATTAATCCATGAGATTTCAGGTAGCAATGGACGACACTACTACAACAGCCTTGATTGCACAAATGGGGCACTTTCTGTATTCCATCCACTATCTGAGAGACCTACTGAGTACTTAACATGATAAGCGGTGCAATATTCCTGGGCTTGGTTTATTACTTTACTCTTCTTTCCATAGTAGAAGCAGGGAAGTGATGCTTGGAGAGGTTGAAGGGGCTTCTTACTGAGTTTTCCATGCTACCCAATTCTGACTTAGCAACCCTACAGGACAGAGGAGAACTGCCCCATAGGGTTTCCAAGGAGCGGGCTGGTGGATTCGAACTGCCGATCTTTTGGTTAGCAGCCGAGCTCTTCACTGCAACACCAGGGCTCCATGCTACAGACCACCTTAATTACATTAAACAGTTGATTAAATCAGTTGGCGGTATACCAGTAATTGTTCAGCCATCACACCTTGAAGGTAAACAATGTAAGTCCTCAGCTGCTCTCTTATCATTCTTAGCCCCTACTTTTTTTTTTTTATTGTACTTTAGGTGAAGGCTTACAGAACAATTTCTCATGAAACAGTAGTACACATATTGTTTTATGACATTGGTTAACAACCCCACAACATGTCAACCCTCTAACTTCTCAACCTTTTTTTTTTTTGGTGAAAATACACATAGCCAAAGACACACCATTTCAAAAATTTCTACATGCACAGTTCAGTGACAGACTATGCTCTTCCAATTGTGCTGCTATTCTCACTTAAGATGAACCTTAGCCCCCACTTTTTGACTATCCCACAGGATCCTGAAAAGTAAATAATGAAATCTGTGTGTGGGTTAGAACTCAGTAGATAACCCTTAAATTCTAAACAAAAATCCAAGGTACTTTGTCCATTTTAATAACTCCAAAATTTTAACAAGAAATAATTTTTCCAGATATGGTTACATAAGAGTATGTTTAAAAAAAGGAAATGTGCCTTTTCTCTTTTTAGTTGGAAATGTTGCCACATTCCCACATTGACCTCTTTTCTAGGCACACATAAAAATTTCATAGTACTACTGTTGTATTGTTGAATCAACTCCATGGCAACGGATTTGGTTTTGCTTTATTGCTGTTGTTAAGGTGCTGTCGATTTCTACTCATAGCAACGCCATGTGATAGATAAGAGCTGTCCCAGAGTTTTCTAGGCTGTAATCTTTATAGAAGCAGATCACCAGGTCTCTCTCCTAAGGACAGCTGCTTGGTGGGTTCAAACCACCAACCTTTTGGTTAGCAGTGAGCCCTTAATCATTTAGTCACCAGGGCTCCCTGCATAGTACTATTAATATCTAGTATTTATTGTGCACTATTTGCCAGGTACCATGTTTAGATCAGGGTTTCTCTACCTCAGCACTACTGGCATTTTGGACCAAATAATCCTTTGTTATGAGATGTGCATTTTAGGATGTTTAGTAGCATCCCTGGTGTCTACCCACCTTCAACTCCCAGTTGTAACAACTAAAAATGTCTCCAGAAATTGCCAGATGTTCCCCGGTGGGCAAAATTGCCCCATTTCAAACCCACCGGTCATTCCACAGGAGAAAGACGTGGCAGTCTGCTTCCATAAAGATTACAGCCTTGGAAACCCTATGTGGCAGTTCTACTATGTCCTACAGAGTCACCATGAGTTGGAATAGACTCGACGGCAATGTGTTTTGGCCTTAAGGCATATCAATTTAATCCTGAAAACAATGCCATGAACTAAATTTCTATTTTCCACTGCACAGGTGAGAAAACAGAGGCACAGAGATGTTAAGTAACTTGCTTAAGATCACACAGCAAGTAGTGATACAACTAGTATTTGATCCAAGGTAGTCTGACTCCAGAGCCAGGATCTTAACTGCTGCTCTGCTATCAAGACTTGACCGCTTTCAGATGTTAGGGGTTAGTGAGAAGACTGGTGGATCAGAATCTCTTCCAAGTTGTCAAAACAAACTGCAGCAGCAATAGTTTCCAGGGGTTAAAAATGACTTTAAAGAAAGAAGGAAGAGAGTACAATCTCCACCTAACTATGCCTACCTGGGTCATGGTAACTGAAAGAAGATATTTTTAAAATGAGTATCACTCACATATGAATAATCTAAAAACCCACAGGTTGGTAACTTTCTTCTTCCACCACTTGAATCACTTTTATAACTAGGTGAAGTAGACACTGAATATAATTTAAGCTCCTCTTCTCTTAATGGAAATATCCGACCCACCAGCAAACATAATTCTCACCATTAGATCCCCTCCTGTAATTGGAGATTTAGTCTTCCAATTAGAGATTTCATTTGCAGATGACCCTTGTTAAAATGCTAATTCCACATTAAGCTGTTAGTCTTCGTTTAAATAAATTAATCAAATTAGTTAGTAAGTCATTTAGCAAGCCACTAGAAAGTAAATTACAAAACAGGAAAGGTCTGATGGCCCAGTAAGGGGCTGGGAAAACCCTGTCCTAGGGCTGGTAGCAGGTGGTATTGGATAGGAACGGTGCTGGGCAGACGCAGGTGATCATCGAGAGGAGGCATGGACAGTCACTTATAGGAAAACTTCCCTTCCTTTCTGTTCATCTCCCCAGTTCCCTATTTGACAATCTCTTTCCTCACATATAAACCAGAAAATTTTCCCTCAAAATGCAGGTAACTAGAGTAGACTGGAGCCCTGATGGTACAGTGGTTAAGTGTTCAGCTGCTAACCAAAAGGTGGGTGGTTCGAACCCACCAGCTGCTCCACAGAAGATGTAGCAGTCTGCTTCTGTAAGGTTTACCCGTTGCCTTCAATTCCAACTCATAGTGACCCTAAAGGACAGAGAAGAACTGCCCCCATAGGGTTTCCAATGAACGGCTGCTGGATTCAAACTGCCGACCTTTTGGTTAGCATCCAAGCTCATAACCACTGTGCCACCAGGGCTTCTCCGTAAAGATTACAGCATTGGAAATCCTATGGGGCAGTTCTACTTCATCCTATAGGGTCCCTATGAGTCAGAATCAACTCGAAGGCAATGGGTTTTTAGAGCAGACTGGTTCCAGCCTACCCAGGACAGGCTGCTATGGCAAAGATGCCTCTTTATATTAAGCCAAGAGGGGCTAAAAACTATCCCAGGTGCGTTGCTCTTCCTTGAATCGACTACTCAAACTGTTTTCTATTTTGATGGTATATGGATTTTTGCACGCAGGAACCCTAAGCCTGAATCCGCACTGCACATGGCTTCTCCATGGTCCTGGCTTCTCCAAACATCTTGTGAAACACAAAACTTCCCATTTTCTGTGGGACAGGAGACTTAAGAGTGATGATGTGCTATCACTCATTGTGGATGTCATACTTCGGGCAAGAAAGTGTTCCCTTGCTATCTCATGCAGAGAGGCAAAAAAGAATTCAGTTCCTTCTCTCCCTACTCATTGCTATTGTTAGCTGCCATACAGCTGGCTACAACTCATAGCAACCTTCTGTATAACAGAACGAAACAGTGCCCAGTCCTGTGCCATCCTCACGATCATTGGTATGTTCGAGCCCCGTGTTGCAGCTACTGTGTCAATCCATCTCACTGAGAATTATCCTCTTTTTTGCTGACATTCTACTTTACCAAATAGGATGTCCTTTTCTAGCATTTGGTCATCCTCATTTCTAAGGAGCATTCTGTCTGTACTTCCTCCAAGACTGATTTGTTTGTTCTTCTCAATCCATGCTATATTCAATACTCTTCACCAATACCACAACTCGAATTCATCAATTCTTTTACAGTCTTCCCTTCTCATTATCCAGCTTTCCCAGGTATATGAGGGGATTGAAAATACCATAGGTTGGGTCAGGTGCACCTTACTCATCACAGTGTTTTGCTTTTTAAGGTTTTAAAGAGGTCTTTTGCAGCAGATTTTCCCAACACAATACATTTGATGTGATTTCTTGACTGCTGCTTCCAAGGGTGTTGACTGTTGATCTAAGTAGAATGAAATCCTTGACAACTTCAATTTCTTTACCATTTACCATAAAGTTGTTTATCAGCCCAATTATGAGGATTTTTGTTTTATGTTTAGATGGAACAAGGGATGTCATTGCTGATGTCAAATGATCTTTGCCAAAGGCAGAGAATACCAAAAAGATGTTTACCTGTGTTTTATCGACTATGCGAAGGCATCCAACTATGTGGCAACATTATGGCGAACATTACGAACAATGGGAATTCCAACACTTTCAACTGTGTTCATGCGGACCCTGTACATAGATCAAGAGGCAGTCACTGAAACAGAACAAGCGGATGCTGGGTAGTTTAAAATTGGAAAAGGTGTGCATCAGGGTTGTATTCTTTCACCTTATTAAATCTGTATGCTGAGCAAATACCAGTAATCTGAGAAACTGGACTATACAAAGAACGTGACATCAGGACTGAAGAAAGACTCATTAACAACCTGTGATATGCAGATGACACAACCTTGCTTGCCGAAAATGAGGATGACCTGAAGCACTTACTGATGAAGGTCAAAGACTAGAGCCTTCAGTATTGATTACACCTGAACGTAAAGAAAATGAAAATTCTCACAACTGGACCAATAAACATCATGATAAATGGAAGAAGTTGAAGTTGTCAAAGACTTTGTTCTACTTAGATCAAAAAACAATGCCCTATTCATACCTTTAAATAAAAGCAAGTGGATAACTACTTGTTTTCTTTGAACTTGATAGTGTCAGACAATCACTACATAAAAAGGCTTTCCTTCTATCTGGGAATGCCTATTGTGAGAATTTTTCTTCAAAAAAGGAATGAAGGAAAAAAATGCCATTGAAATTTAAACCAGGCTCTATAATTAAGCACTTTATATCTGCTCAAAACAATTTTCAAGCATTCAAATCCTCACAGAAAACTTCTTCAAAAAAAATAACAGAAAAATCAGAACCAAGGTTTACAGGTGATGTAACAGGAAAAAATTTTATTGTGAAACTCTTAAAAGTTATTTCAAAAAGAAAGGAAAAAAGCCTCATGCTGATAAAAAGCTAAGTTGGGTAGTTAATGAAAGAGTGACCAGATAAACCTCACACAAGCACACTGTAGTTATCAAGTAGGTCGAGAGATGGAAAGTTGATCTATGTCGGATCAAACTACCTTGCTTTTTGAAAAAATTAGAGTGGAAGGATAAGCATATACAAGCTTGGATTTTAAAAAATGAACTTGTATTTATTATATTTTCCAACTATGATCTTTTAAAATGGTGGCCTTAGGAAAATCTACTTTGGCAAGCAACTGCAGAGGCTCCTGCAGAGAGGAAGTGAAAAGACTGGGCACACAAACAAGGGCTGCTGGCACGTTCAAAGCGCAGGGGATAGTTCACAGAGCAAAATGTAGTTCTAAGTAAATGGGTTTCAGGCAATTTCAGTGTTAAGATAACATCATTAAGAGTAGAACAGATTGTGCTCAAACCCTGCTGTTTATAATTAACACGTTGCTTCCAAATACTCCAGGGTCCCTAGTAAATAGTCTTCTGCTCACATCCACCCAGACCAATCAGAGTATTTTCATCAGATTCCATGCTGGGCCAGCACCTGTTTGGACAAATCCAATAGAGCCAAAGAACTCCTCTCCCTGGCCAGCTAAGGAGTTGGATGAACACAGCTTGGCTTAGTCATTGTCACAGTGTCCATATGGCTTTGAAGCTTGTTTTCACAAGAAATCATACAAGTATTTTATTATGTCAAAGTTCACCGTCCTATAAACAAAAACAGATAATCCGTTAGCATCCTCACCCCTTCTTAGATTGCTCAGATTTGTACGATTCTGGAAAGCACATGCAAAATAATTTATAACTAATGCTAAACAATCCTATAGCATTATCAAATGCACCATGATAAGACTGATACTGATTTTTTAAAATGTCAATAGAAACTCATTTCTTTTAAAAGTTTTTTTTTCCTTGGCCATGCATAAAGTTTGCTTTTCTGAAAAAGGAGAAGTTAGAACTATTCAACATTCTGTATTTCAATTATACTACAGAAAGTTCAGATTTCATCTGAAAGCTTTGTTTTTTGTCTAATAAAGAGAATAAATTAGAGATGCAAAAGTATTTAAATCTTCTTTGCTTCTGAACATTGTTTATCTTCCAAAACACCTGTTCTATCATTACATAATGCACTGCTCATTTGTCCTCAATGTAGTTTTCATTCTTTCAGTCTTTTAACACTGGTTGACCTATGTGTGTATTGTAACTAAATCTGTATGATCCAAGAATACGATGCAACAAACAGACGATGTGAATGTGTATTTTTGTAGTCTGATGGCAGGCAGAATAAAATAACAGAGAGAGACATATAATTATTTTCCTTTCTCCAAACTCATTCTTCACTATAAATATTCAGACTTGGAGGTTTATTATTTGAATAAATGGTCAAAATAATTAGATATAACGATCTAGCAATAAGTATAAAATTAAAGCTTTAAAGTATTCAATTCTTCAAAAATAATCATCCAAGTGAGAACAGCCTTTTAAAAATTCACTAACTGCATGCTCTTATTTATTAAACCATCATCAATTGTTTTTGTCTATCATTTTGTAATACAATTGCTAAAAAAGTTTCTAAGCAAATGACTGACATATTAAATATTTTTAAAAATTGGAGTGGGAAACTGCTTATGAAAACACTTTTAAAAATAGCTCAAATGAGATGTTATGGCTATTGTGGTACCTAATGTCAGACTGAAGATTACCTTCGTTTCCTCATTACTATAGTGCCTCTCTGAAGAACACTAAACCTTTCTGAATGGTATAAAAATACTGCCAGAACTATTTTGTTATAAGCATTAGCATAAACAAAACAACTAATAATAGTTACTAAAATTAAAAAAAATCTTATCTCAAGTCGTGATAAGATTTTTCTCTTCACTGCACACTTGTCTTTCTTACATCCAATGACCTTCTTTTCCACTCTCGTGATCACACTCAGAAGTGCTCTACCTCTAAAAATATAAATTCATTCTACCTTCTGATCCCTAATCTCTTCCTTCAAGCTATGTGCAACACCTTGGGACACAACAACCAGTCCGCAGACACCTTCACTTTCTCTTGATGTACAAAAACATGCTGAATATTTATGTGTTGGGCACTATACTATTAGCCCCGTACTGGCTTTACTTCCTTCCCTTCCTAGTTTAGTCACTTCAAGCACTCACTTGTGAGCCTCCACTGAACTCACCTGGTGAAAGAAGGAAAAACAAAAGTTTAGAAGAAGCTAAAATTAACACAGCTTAAATTCCAACAGAAGATCAACACTAGGGGAATCCCTAAATTACAAGCATTATTTGATAGAATATTATGTAGCCATAAAAAATGATTAATATGAAGACATATTTATAATATTAGGGGGACTAGAAGAACAGAGAATTGCAACTATGTTGTGATAGTTATGGAGAAATGTCTGTATAATGGAAAGTATTAGAATATAAACAAATGAAAATGCTGTTATTTGTTGTAATAGTAGGATTCCTTTATTTTATTTAGTAATCTGTGTGTGTTACTATGGTATAGTTTGTGCAATAAAAGTTTCTTTCACAGAATGAACAAACTGATTTAAAACACTACACAATTTAAATGTATTCACTTATAAAAGCACTACTACCTTTCACCTCTGCTTTGTCACTGGGATGTACTAAAGTGAATTAAATCCTACAGTAAGATATTTTGGACTTTTTAAAATTAATCAGCCATTGAATATGTAAGATCATTCCTTTAAAAAACATTTACTGTCCAAGATGTACGACTATCCCTTTCTACCATCTCTCTATCCCTCCCACCACCCCCGCAGTATAAATAGATGACTTCCCAAGTGAATTCTATAGATATTTTTCTAGGACAATGGCAAACTTTGATAGAATAATACAACAGCATCATCAAAAATTGTCACACATTTATAGCACAATAAAATAACTGTGTTTTAAAGGACTTGAGACAAACATTTGATTAATTCACTTTTAGAGAAGGTCTAACGTACAAAGGAAGCATGTAATTTGCATGTATTTTCTATGTCTTCAGATGCATAATCTTGTTGTTGTTAGGTGCCCTAAAATTGGCCTCCAACTCTTGGTGACCCCATGCACGATAGGATCGGACCATTGTGACTCATACAGTTTTCACTGACTGATTTTCGGAAGATTGCCAAGCTTTTCTTCCTAGTCTGTCTTAATCCCGAAGCTCCACTGAAACGTGTTCGGCATCATAGCAACAAGCCAGCCTCCACTGACAGACGAGTGGTGGCTACGTTTCAGGTGCACTGGCTTGTAATCAAACCCAGGTCTCCCACATGATAGGAGAGAATTCTAACACTGAAACACCACTGCCCCTCTGAGATGTGCATTTGATTCATACAAACACAATTTTAAGATTTTGGACAGCTGTTATATATTATAAGAGATCCTCTCTTCCATAGAACCCAAATGAATTATTTTCTAAAGTAAGCATCATAAAAGAAATATAATAAAGACAAATAGTATTGGTAATGATTTGCCTAGGAGTAATTCATAAATCAGAATTTAAAATACTTTAATATAATTATACGCATATATCTAAGGATTTAATTTTACCATTATCTTTTTACTTCATTTTACTGATTCTTTTACTCCACATTGAATTTTTTTTTTCCCCTCATAGGATACTGTTTTATGTCCTTTTACTTTTGTGGGCAGTTTTAGTTTGGGTTCTTTTTTAGCTTAAATGTTTGGTTCTTCCGATAAGTTGCAACTATCCAACTTTAAGTTGCAACCTTAAGCTATCCTGTAGTGTCTTCCCCACTGATCAAGGAGCAAAAACAACTATAAACTTATAACTACCATTCACATTAAGAACAATCCAAGGACAATATTTAATAAGCTTCTCAGTCATCTGTCTTCTCCTATACTCCATTTCCATACCCTGTGCTCCCTCTCTGGAACCAGCCTCCTACTGCTTCTCTGTCCAAACTTTTCCTCTGTTGCATGGTCAATAGTACTTTTCCACTGTTGCATGGTCAATAGTTCTCTATCTCCTCTACCTCTTCAATGAAAACGCTTTTTCCCTTCCTGGCTTACCTGAAACCTGGCTCTCTCTGAAGGACCTAGCCCCATCTTCAGCTCCCTCCAATGAAGGTGAGACTCTCCTATACCTCAGGCACCCCTGTCATGTGGGGTTGGTTGGCGTCCTTGTGGAAAAAGCTCTGCTCCTCTGAGACTCAGACCATTCCATTCACCATCTTCTATCCTCCCCATCATCATTTCTTAGTCACTAAATAATTTAGCATCCAGTTCAGTCTTCTTTCCACCTCAAGACCTGCATCAGCCTTAGTGACTTCACTGCACACTTGTCTTTCTTACATCCAATGACCTTCTTTTCCACTTTCATGATCACACTCAGAAATGCTCTACCTCTAAAAATACAAATTCATTCTACTTTCTGATCCCTAATCTCTTCCTTCAAGCTATTTGCAACACCTTGGGACAACCACTCCACAAACACCTTCACTTTCTCTTGATGTACAAAAACGTGCTAAATATTTATGTGTTGGGCACTATACTATTAGCCCCCTACTGGCTTTACTTCCTTCCCTTCCTAGTTTAGTCACTTCAAGCACTCACTTGTGAGCCTCCACTGAACTCACCTGGAAAACCTCGATCTATGTGATTTCAATTAAACCCCTCTGCTGTCCCAGTACCTAGCACACGGAATGCTATTTGGTGAAGAGCATAAGTCTCATGGATTGGTGACACTGTAAATTCATGACAACCTCAACTGGGCCGTCAACACTCCCAGCAAGCTTTTCCTTATCAGTACTCTTACTCATTCCCCATGGCAGCTATTTCAAATATTCTATATTCTTCTCAAAACTGCTACTACCTCTGCCCTTAGTCACAGCAGAGAATTCTGCCTCCTCTTTCACCACAAAACAGAAACTACCAGATCAAAACTTCTTGCCACCAAATTTCCAAACTCAGCTTCATCTGAATCCATCCTTTGCTCTTGTTATAATGACAAGAGGATTCCCCTCTATCATCCAGGGCTATTTCTTTCAACTCATGTTCTAAATCCCATGCTGCTATGCCATTTCAAGGACTTCGTGCTTTTAATTAATCTCTCTCTCTCTTTAGTATCATTAAGCCTCCTTCTTTACCTGTTCTTTCCCATCAGCATTTAAATATGCTTAAATCTTTAAAAACTAGTAATTATAACTCTCTTACAACTCCACATTCCCTGTAGCAGGTATAAGCCTCTCTCTTTCTCCTTATGACAAAAATTCTAGAATGTAAATTCATAAGGATAAGAATATATATCTGTTACATTTGTTGCCATTTCCACAAAGCCTAATATAGTGTTTTGTTTATAATGGGCAACCCAACAAATGTTGAATGAATAAAAGGCATTATATCTACTGGCTGCATCTACTTTCTCATAAATTGTGACTAAATTTACTATAATCTGACTTCTACCCCAACATACCACTGAAGGTACTCCTGATAAAGTTACAAATGACTGGTTTATCAGTACATCAGATGGCCCCTGCTTGACTTCTTGGCAGCATTTGACAATTATGACAGTTTTCCTAGTTTTCTTGCATATACAATTTTACACATAACTGTTTTCCACTTAACATCATATAAGAGTATTTTCTCGTGTTTTTTATCCTTCAGAAGTATGGTTTTCAGTAACTGCATACTGTTTCTTCATGAGAATTTAAAATAAATTATTGATTTATTCTCGTATTACTGGACATTTTAGTTGTGTCCTGTGATCTAATCTTTTGTTCTCTGACACAGGTGTCTGGAACTAGGCATACCACCACTTCTTTGCGAACTATCCTTGGGACTTCCTCCCTTCACCAAGCTGAGATCTGGAATGAGACTAAGCCCTCTTAGCTTCCTTCTTCGTGCTGCCCTAGAAAACAAACCCATAATGGATCCCTTTTCATCTGAAGTTGTATTGCTAATCACTATGGGAAAACATGCCTCTGTCAATAAACATTAAGTTTAAAGTGGAACCCTGGTGGTACAGTGGTTAAGAGCTTGGCTGCTAACCAAAAGGTTGGCAGTTCAAATCCACCAGTCACTCCTTGGAAACCCTATGGGGCAGTTCTACTCTGTCCTACAGGGTTGCTATGAGTCAGAATTGACTTGACAGCAGGGGGTTTGGTTTGGTTTTGGAAGTTTAAAGAATTGTGGTAGACCTTGAGGATAAGGCAATGATTGACACAGACACAGTCTGTGATTTGAGCTTCATGAAATTATATTCTAGAAAGAAAGATGAACTCTAATTAGTTGTGTGTGTGTGCGCGCATGCGTGCATGATGGTGGTCATAATATGTTTGAGAAGGCTTCTTTGAGGAAGAGATACTTAAACTGAAATCTAAAGCTTATGCCGCAGTTAGCTAGATGAAGGAGAGATGGGGAATTGGAAAGTGCTACATATGCAAAGGTAGGGAGTAGGATGGTAAATATTAAGAACTAAAAAAAAGGTGGTGTGGTTGAAGTGCAAATACTGAGAGGAGAAGAGGTGTGTGCCACATGTGGCTGGGCACAAAGGCAAGGGCCAGACCATTTCGGCCTTGTACACTATTAAGGGTTTTGTTTTTTATCCCAAGAGTTATGGGAAGCTATTGAAGACTTTTAATAGGGAAGTAATGTTAAATTTTTATTAAATTTTGTAGGATCTTCCTTCGGGCTACAGTATGGACAATACATTATAAGGAGCAAGAGTAGGCAGAAGACCAGCTGGGAGGTCAGTAGAAGGTGATGACAGTTGGCTGGTCTAGAGTAACAGTACAAATGATAAAAAGTGAAGGAACTTGAGATATGTAGGAGGGCTTGGTAGGCTCAACAAGGCTAATGATTAGACATTGGGAGCATAGGAGAAAGGTTTCTAGAATGACCAGGAATGGATTACCCAATAAGTAAGGTACACACAGGCTTACTTGTGCTTACTTACTACTCCCTAGTGCACAATGTCACCTGTTTTTCACCACATCAGATGTAAAACCCATGTGAAATTATGCACTACCGAGTAGTAAGTAAGCATAAGTAAGCACATGCTTACCTTGCTTACTGGGTAAATCTGCCCCTGTCAGGGATTATAAATTTGAAAAGAGGCTTTGATTCTATAGGAATGTGCTGTGGGGTTGGCAGAGAGGCAGATGCCAGCGATACATATAAGCAGAATCTTTGATGTGGTGAAAAAATGCGAAATTGTTCACTACAGATGATGTGGCAAGCAAGGTAAGCACCGTGTTTACTTTGCCTATTGGATAATCCACCTCTGGCTCTAAGAGAAGAGAGTTTAACAAAGGGAGAGTGGTCAACAGTGTTAGATGCCACTGAGAGGACAAACAACCTGAAGGCTAAAAAGGTTCTGGGAAAATCCAGAGGAGATGGAATTCAGACCACATGTGGAAGAATACACCTTGAATAGGAGGGGGGAACCTACCTCCTACCCCTCATTCACATAATACTGAAAAAAGGAAAGAAAGAGAAGATGAGCACCAATGTAGGTAGTTGAAGGACTTCTCAACTGATGTTTTCAATTTTGTTCTGTGAAATAAAATGAATGCTGAGAGTGAACACAGATGTAGGGATCTGTGGTTTGACTAGAATCAAGAATATAGGTGGAAGGGAAGCCTGTGAACCAGATCCTCCATTCCTCAATAAATTAGGTGGAACAGCTAGGATGTTAGTAGAAGATAATTAGTCATAAGAATAAGGAAATAGAGACAGATTGTAAAGAAAGAAGCCCAAGTTTTTATCAGAAGTTGTGGGGAGAGGGACCAGTCAGGAAGTGGCAACAAGGATAGACAGCACTGAAATACCCTCCCAACCAGGAGGGACTGGGCTTGATGACTCCAGAGGAAATAATATCCCTACGGAAGAACCAGGTTTAGTTAAAGCCATGAGGAAGAATATTGGGAGAAGATGGAAGGATACAGGAGGGAGAATAAGAAATGGGAGGCTGAGTCAGCAGATAAGAAGTACACAACATTATGGGGATGAGAGTAGAAGAGGATAGGTGTGAGAAGTGGAAGAGAATGCTTATATTATCCATGGAAAGCAGAAAAAAGAAAAGTAAGAAAGCAAGTGGCAAAGTTCCCAAGATCGTATGGCAAAATTCTAGGTCTATGGTTCCTGCTCCCTTCTGAGATGGTAAATGGAAAGTGCACTTCTTTTTTTCTTCCCGAGGAGTTAACATCACCATAATGCTGTGGATTAAGTAACACCAAATTCAGTTTGTTTCACTGTATCACTACACTAGGCATTTACTAACATCTGTCCTGTAAAAGAACGGTTATGTTGGGGCATAACGCAACACCTTCAGAGTAATGGCAAAATCCCTAAACTAAATATGCACTTTCCAAAGTTATGCCTTTGATGGAGGCTCTTAGATATAAATGTTCTAATATCTGTTGTTTAGAAGAATAATGTCTATTGCTTTATGATCATATTCATAACATTAAAAAGAAGTTTCTGCCCAATTTCCTCTGTGTAAAAATTTGCCTGGTTTTATCATAATGACTTATTTCATAAACTTCATTTCATATTTTAGAGTCTACACATTACCAAAATGCGGCAACTACCTGCATCATAATATCGCAGAACTTTTAATTCAAAAGAAACCTCAGGGTAGAGGCTGCCAGCCTGTGGACTTTAGAACCTCAGGAAGCTGTAAAATTTATTAGAGGTGATTTACAAATCCATACCCACGTCAAGAGCTGTTTTTAGGCTGAATAATGTTTCATGCCTGTATATTATGAATTTTGCAATGTATGTAAATACTTTCATGATTAATTTTAAAAGAAAAGAATGTTAAAATGGAATCTTCATATTCAGAATGGTTGGGCAATCAGTCTTATGGATTGTCTTGTTCAACCATCCAGTCTACACACATTACTACAGTCCTGACAGATCTTTATCCAGCTGCAACCATAAGATGAGTTCATTTATTCATATAGGCGGCTTGAACATTTTCTACAACAGTAAGTACACCTCTTTATGTGGAAACCTCTTACATTTTTAGACAGCTCTCATTTTGACAAATAAACTTTCCTCTCTAGAACATTCTAGAATTTTTCAGAGTACGTTTAATCCATTTTGCACATGACAGTCCCTGAAATAACATGTCCTTCCTAAGGCTTTTCTTTCACCTCCCCACTCGTCAGTTAGGGATGTGGCAGGCTTCCTACTTCTACCACTCTCTGTGTGTCCCCCTCAGCATGTACCCAGTTGCTTATGCCCCTCTTAAAACTCCAAAGACAGCAGAGTACACGAGATTTAATCTGCCTACGGCAAGAGACAGCAGAACTTAAAATCCCTTGAACTAGACGTTATATTTCTATCAGTGTTACCTTAGTCAGGATTTTTAAAACTTGTAGTCAGTTAAAATCCTTAGGACTTAAACTAGTTCTCTCCCAACCTGTTTTAGTATATATGATTTTTTTTTTCTTTTTTTTGTAGCCGACTGGCCCTGCTAAATCCCACTGCTATTATGGGACCATCATTCCAGTCTATTAAGATCTTCTAGAATCTTGATTTTTGCCATCTAACATTATTAGCTATTCCTCCCAATTTCGTGTCATTTGTAAATCTGATGAGACGGTTCATTCTACAGTGGCTCTTGTTCATTCTTGGCACTTAAATAATCTTTTCTCCTTTAAAGGACTAATGACATTAGATTAGGAAGAACATTAATTTTTATATTTAGTATATAATTACATAATTCAAGACATTTTATATTAACAATTATTCTACTCTTACCTTGCAATAGCTCTGATGAAGTCTAGAGATACTGTGCACTTGTATTTTGGTCCATCAAGCTGATCATCATGGCCAACCAGGGTTAAGAGCTGAAGGGTCACTAGAGAGGTAATCTAAAAATGAGAAAGCATTTTTATGAGAAACTGTTTCAATAAGACTACATGACATCCTTGTTTCTGAAACATTTTGTAGTTCCTCTGATAAAGGCATATAACTGAAACCACAAAAGGATCCGCAAAAAACACAACTTTGAAATTTGCATATACAAATTTGTATGTATGTTTAAAGTTCTAGTTAAATGAAATTAAAACTCAGTTTTTAGGGATTCCATTACAGACAGCTCTACATCATTAATGACTTCAACATATCACTGCTAACCTTTGCACATTCCTTCTCTATATAGCATTTCATGGAGTTTCTATCTAAATACCTCAGAATATCAAATCTATACTTCTTTGGGAATTAAACAATTAAAATGTGGATTTAGGCTTTTTTCAGTCTTGGGTACTGGTTAGATGAGAGGTAAGAAATGTATCCCTCAGATCTGAACTTTAGTCTTGCTTTAAAACTGAATACTGATCAGGTAGTTAGGAAAACACCAAAAGGAATAATACTGACAAAAGCAAAAGTGTATTTTGACAGGTCAAAACCTCACACTCACAAGGCTAACCAAAGTATTAAGTGCTCTGACACCCAAGAAAGAAAGCTTAACCATGATCTGAAATTGTTTGAGCAGCCTAGTCTGTTCTCCCAATTTCTTATTCTCAACTCCTATAGACCAACAGGAGAAAGAGGCCACAAATGGCAAGAAGAAAAGACTTCGAGACTTGGTGACTGGTAACTACTCTGTGGCAATATAAAGAATAAGAGTTGTAAGTAATAAAATCTGTAGTATCTACCTAATCATATGCCTTAGGAATTAAAACTGCTTACTTAATTTGGAACTAATACTGTGCAGACACTCAGTAAACATTCTATGGATAACAACAACAGCAGTAGCAATTTTACTTTTTACTAAGTGCTCTATACACACCGTTTAATTTATTCCTCATGACCCTACAAGGTGGACATTATCATTATACTCATTTTATAGATGAGCCTTAGAGATGTCAGGTAACTTTCTCCAAATCCCAGAGCTAGTAGGTGCTTAGCAAGAATCCAAACCTGGAGGAGTTCCGGCAAAATGGCGCTCTAGGCAGAAGCACCAAGCCGTCCCTCCACAGCAAAGATCAGAAAAACTAAGCCGAACAGAGAATACAACAATCCTGAAACCCTAAAACATCAAATGAAGAGA